AGAGTGAAATGAATAATTTCTGTTAAAAAAGGTAGTGTGGTTTCTGCATAGGGGTGTTCCATGGATATTACTTTCTTCTTTCTTTAAACCTCTCTAGTCAGACTATTCCAACCAATATATTATTTGCCAAGCATTACGTAGACAGGGATGAAGAGACTGCAGTTCCTCCAACCAGGGACAATACAAGCTGAATGTCTAATGAAAGAAAAAAATGAGTAAGCCAACAATTACGGTCTGGTTATATGAACGTTTGATTTGAGATTTCCTTCGTTATATCCACCAGGAGATTGTTTTCTAGGGAGAGGGCTTGGGGATATCAGCAGATGAGAGACCAGGGAATCTGATCCCCCTACAACAAACTGCAGGGTCATCAGAGATACAATCTCTACACAGAGTTTTCTCTGATTTTAGCATCACGATCCTTTTCGCAAATTCAGAATCACCTGGAGAAAAGAAAAGAAGGTATTGCCCTCAAAACTGACACCATTCCCTTAATTAGTTCATCAGATTTTGTTGTACATTTGCTTCTCTGAAGGAGTTGTATTATAAATGCACTTCTCTGGGCCCCAAAGCGAAAGATCAGCTTCGATAGTTCATGATGGTATTCTGGTACCTGTATTTTAAACATCCTCCCCAGGTGGTAGTAAGGCGCAAGAAAGTTCAAAAAGCTCTGTCTTGAGTTCTGCAATATAGATGTTTCAGATTCTTTCATAACCTGCACAGACAGTGAAATAAGTATGTGCCTCCTTCCAGCCATTTGTGAAAAAGCACCTTTGCCTTTGTCGAGCAGCACTTGGAATATCTTTGCTGAGTAGCCCTGTGTTTCTGCTCTTGGCTATGGAGATTACTCAACTGCACTCACAGTTCTCCAGGTTTACACAGTTTCTCCAACTGTGTTGAAGTTTCTGCAAGTACCATGCGATGCTACACGGAGATGTGTAAATTTCCCTGCAAACTCATACAACCAGATATGTGCGGTTCTCATTACATGTGGGTGAGGTTCTCCACCATCTGAATAGGCCCCCAACTGGCCTGTCTCTTCCTCATCTGGACTTTCTCCCACTTGGATTCAGGAAATCATGCAAAGGGTTTCCTTTTATCCTTGCTTTATTGCCTGCACCTGCATTTCCCTGCCTGGTGTGTGCCCCTTGTGAAAACAGCTATAGTTCTCACTAATTTTCTCCAGGAAATGAAAGATAACCCACTGCCTTGCCCTGCCTCAATTGCACACCAATTCACCTCTGAATTTCTCTGAGGATGCTGTTTTCAGATTGGTGTGTGCAAAAGTAGAAAGGGAAGCTCTGAAAGGGAGGGGAACCCCCTCCCCATTGTTCTCTAGCTATTTGGGTTGGTGGCAATGCACAACAAGAGGAAAACGAAAGTCCTGGCTGGGTCTGAGATGCCTCTGTTCACTGGTTTAAGGAGAAAACAGCACTTACCCACCCTGCCACTGAACTGGGAGGGAGAGGGGGTAGTTAAGTCATTGGTCTGGAAAAGGAGTTCACAGGCTATTAACCCGGCAACAGTTGGACAGCACTGCTCCACCCAGCAGCTGAAGTGTCAGAGCTACGTTAAGACCCGCAGTGCTTTCCACCGGCTGAAGTAGATAGTATTCCAACCAGAACAGGGGACAACTCAAGCTTAGAAACAATAACAGCTAAAAACAATGAATTGAAACCAGAATGAATAAGACATCCTCAACAGATTGAGATCGAATGTTGGAGCCTCAATGCCCCTGCCCTGCTGAGGACTCCTGGCTCCTCAATGAAGCAGGCAGAGCTGAGCTTTCTCAGGGGTCTGAGAGTTTGCACAGACAGAAATGAGGACAGAGAGGAAAGCAATCATCACCCTTAGGAGTGACCTACAAATAGCGTGCCAGGCTAAGGACAGGACAGGCTCTTCTGTTTAGCATCTAGAGTCCATAGGAACAGTATAAAGTTTAAATCATGGAAGCATTTGTTTTTATAGACAAAGCCTTTTGCTTTCATCCCAGGATTTCAAAGCCCCTCACAGCCATTAATTAGTTGTAAGCAATTCAGTCCTGTCAACATTTCACACCTAATCAAGGGCTGATAGATGTCACCCCAAGGGATCTAATCAATAATTCCTCCGCACCCTCTCCTTTTCTATACCCTTCTCCCAGGTCATTTATTTTTTTCTAACTTCAAGATCCCCTCCCCCTTCTTTTTTTCGCTTACGGTGTCTGACTCCCTTTCCCTTTTTTTACCCTTCCTTTTCTGTCTCCTCTCCCAAGGTTTCTTTTTTTGCCTTCTTATTTTCTCTAGATGGAATTGGGAGAATTTGCAAACCAAGGGGCTTGAGACCAAGATACAGAAGTCTATGAGTCCCAGGCTTTCACAGGGAAAGCCCCAAATGAAGATGGGTTCCTGGTCATGAATTTCTATTTCTCATGGGACATGCTTATCTGTGATCAATTTGTCTGTGAATCCTACTCCCTGGGCAAACAAACCACTGCCAGTGTACTGGCTTCAGTAAAGCTGTTCAGGGCCCTGATTTCCAAGGAAAGTAAAAAATCCAGCTCTGTGTTTTCAACACGCTCAACCCCTCCTCATGCCCTCAATAAAGACAAAACCCCACTCCATCGGAATAAATCACTTAGAACACGAATGATAAACTTGCTGCACAGGTCTACCACTTTCATCTCCATGCCCATGCAGGCATCCTTGACGGAGCATAGCACTTTCCCCTCCATCCCACCTCCACCTCAGTGCCACCGCTATCTCAGACCCAGAATTCCACTCAAAAGGAAATGTGAAACCTCCTTGCCGATTCTGATGCAGGGCCTGTCCTACCTTGCTACTTACCACATTCACAGGCCATCCTTCTTATTTTGTTTTTAGATTTTAAACTTTATTATTTTTGCTTTTTTACTATACGTAATATATTTAATACAATGTTTAATGTAAAATAATAATACTGTATACTAATATTTTGTTATAAAGCATAATCATAAAACTAATAGCTATTAACTTAATAACCTAAAATAAGAACTAGATTATGACTAATAATTTGCATTTATTGAAAGGTTTATTCTCACCCACACCACTGACTTCCATCCATGAATTAACACCTCTCCTGAATTTTCTGTTTATCAATATGCTGTATATCATACATATATATATACACACATATATATATATCATACCCATGCTTCATATCATACATATATATATGTATATATATATATATAAAATATGTATACACCACAGGTAGGCACATAGGTATACCAGAGGTATCCCATAGGTATGCAAGCATATGTATATGCAATTGTAGCACATATGTACACATGTACCTGTGCATATAATTTTACCACATAAGTATATATTCTCAAACAATATATATTTTAGTTTTGCTTTATTTCTGAACTTTCAGAAGTAATACACATTATCTCGCATATAGCAATGGTGTATATGTTTTCACTGATATAAAGTATTACATTACATAAATGCAACCCAATTTTGTTCCAGGTATTATTCATATTATTAGGCATTTCCAGTCAGATTATGAAAATTTTCAAATGTTTTCATGGTTCAAACATACAAGGTGATTCCTAACATGTATATTTTAGAGTAGAACTGTTACGTTATAGAATTTGTGAATGCTCAAATTTGCCAGATAATGTGAATTCATTTACCAGAATAATTGTATATTTACACTCACTTCAACAATTTTAGGGGATTTCCTATCAGTGCCTTTCTCTCAAATGCTTTATATTTTTATACATTCTCCACCTCACCCCAATCAAGAGGACGTAAAATTGCATCTCCTTGTGGTATTTCCTTGCATTTCCCAGATTAATGATTAGATTGGGCACATTTTTATTGATTTATGGACCATTTATGTTTCTGTGGTCAAATGCCTGTTCATGAGCTTTTTCTTTCCCCCTTCTCTGTCAGAATTGTTGTCTTCTTCTTATTAATTCATGAGTTGAGATTTGTTCATTTGTTTGTTTAACATATCCTGGATTTTAACTTTTTGTTAGATAGCAAATCTTGAAGATTGTGTCTTTTATTTTCACTTTATTTATGATTCCTGTTAATGAAAGTTCCTGATTGCATCACCTTTTTACTAATGTGTATGGTTCTTTTAGAATATAAGTATTAATCTCATGTTATAGATAAAATATCTCCAAGTTGTGACATATTTTCTTATGTCTGTTGATAAATAGAATTTTTTTCTTACTGTTCTATTTTTGTTTAAGAAATTATTTTCTATACAATGGTAAAGTAAAGCAAAGATGTTGTTACTTCTGGAAGGAAGAACATAATAATCGTCAGTGTTGAGCTCTTCAGCCTTGTTTTTCTGCTGCATGGAGAAACCTGAAGGCTTATGTGGAGATGCTAGTGTCAAAAAAAAGTTCAATCTTCCATCAGCCTGTGATCCTGAGTGACATCTATAAAGAATAGAATCCATTCCACTTCCTACCAACTCAGGTTGAACGTATAGTCTGAGTAAGACTTTCTTATTTTATGCCACTAAGAAGTCAGGGTTGTTTCCTAAGCAAAAACCATCCTATCCTGACTGGTATAATAATTGTCTCAGCACACTTATTGAATTACTCTCCTCTCTTTTTCAAGGGTATGGGATAATTCCTTTCTCGCAAATCAACTTTCTATATCTGTGTGGCTCTATTTCTGGAATCTTGTTTTGTTCGTCCAGCCAAATTGTCTGTCCCTGAACAAATATTATACTAGCTTAATTACTAAGGTTTCGTATTTGAAAAAGCAAACCCTCCTATTTTATTCTTCTTCAAGAATTTGCCTTGCTTTGACCCTTTGCTCTTCAAAATAAATCTCATAGCTTGCCAAATTCCATGACAAACCCCATTAGATTTAATGAGAAAATTTATAGATTTACTTTGAGTAAAATTGATATTTCTGATACTGGCTCTTCCAATCTAGAAACATAGTATGATTCTCTATCTTGTTTATGTTTAGTTATTTCAATAAACTCCTATAATTTCCCAGAAGCAGTATACACCTTTGTTGTAGTTATTTCTATATGACATATTTTGAGTTGATTTATAATTTTAATTGTGAATGACAGTTTTAAAAATTACATATTCAAATGGTTTGTTGTTGGTGTATAGAGAAGCAAACAATTTTTATTTTTTATTTTAGATGCAACTAGCTTTTTTCAACTCTCTTATTGGTTCTAATAATTTGTGGATTCTTTTGATTTTCCAAGTAAACAATGATATCATCTGCAGGTGATGCTGGCTTGGTACCTTCCTTTTGAGTTTTTATGTCTTAATTTCTCTTCCTTATCTTACTGCCCTGGCTAGGACCCTGGAGCCATGTTGAATACAAGTGATGACATTGAACTTCTTATTTTTTCCTGGTCCAAAGAAATGATTGTCATACTTAACCATTAAGAAAGTTGCTTCAACTAACAAAAGAAAACTCAAGGCTGAAAGTAGAACAATTCTGTTTTTTGTCTATAATAAAGTAATGAATAAAGGCATTGGACATCTGTGACCTTTAACATCACAAAAAAGCGGGAACAGACATTATGTGACTCCCAGTTTAAATATATATATACACACACACACACACACACACACACACACACACACACACACACACA